TGTATTCAACTGCAGCCTTCTAAGTGGGAGGACGGGGAGTAGTTGTTCTGTGAAGGAAGGGGACACTGCCATGAGGAGGGAAGGAGAGAGTGGGTTGCAGGCCTTACTTTACAGGTCTTGAGGACCCTGTTTCTCACCCCTACGATCCCCAGAACAGTTGAAAACCATGCCACCACATGCCACTCCTTCTCCGAGATGCTGTGCACACAGGCTGGAACCAAAGAGGAGACATAAAATACAGGCCTTGGTTTTCATTATTTATGGACTCTGCACTTTTGAGTTTGTCTACTTGTTAACATTTCTTTGCAACCGAAAGTGATACCTCTTGCACTTCTGAAGTTATTAGCAGGCATCCACAGGGAAGCAAAAAGGGTCTTTGCATTTTCTCGGCTGAGGCTAGACTCAGGACTAGGTCCTGCCTTTCTGTCAGGAGATATAATATGCTTTCAGTCTGTTTAGTTCTCTGCTTAGGTTTTTTGTATTGTTTTGTGTGTGTGTGTTTTGTTTCATGTGTGTGTTTGTGTTTTGTTTTGTTTTTTTTTTGTGTGTGTATTGTTTTGTTTTGTTACACTGTTGTCCCTTCTGCTAGTGATTTTGCTGTTTAAAAGTGTCTTCCAAAAAGGGCTAATGAGCTGTTTGGTGTTCCTAACCCAAGAAGGTTTATGGAAGAAACATGTGTGTTAAATACACCTCCTGCAGGCACTCCGCACACTGTTGTTGGCCAGGAGTTTCAGGCTAATGAACGAAGAGTGGACCTCAGAGCTGGGAGTTGGCTCACTCAGCACAATCTTGTGAGGCACAAGGACCTGGGCTTGATCCTCAGAACTCACGTGAAATAAACCAATGTGGAGGTGAACACTTGAGATCCCAGAGCTGTGGAGATGGAGACTGAAGTAGGCTGCCCAGCCAGCGTGGCCTGCTTAGCAGATTCCAGGTCACTGAGAGACCCCGTTTCAAAAGGAAAGCAAGCAAACAAGAAGATGGGACTGAGGAATAACAGCTGAAGCTGACCTCTGGCTTCCACACACTCACATACATGTGCACAACCCACATGTACATCTGCACCCACATATGCACATGTGTACACACACATATACTACATTCACATGTGTACACACATGCACCTACACAAACAGTGTACATTAGCCAGATGATACTCAGCAGGAACTTACATTAAAGACATGCTTTGAGTTGACATGCATTGACAGCTTTTGTATAGCCCTCTGAACTGGGAATGCTCTAACTCTATGGTCATTGGTTCCACATTTTCTCGGTCTTCTCAGTGGTTTTTGTAGAACATGACCACTTCAAATAGAGACGATCTGTCCCTCAGGGCCTCTGACACACCAGAACTTTAACTTTGGAGTCCATTACATTCTCCTCCCACCGTGGGAGAGGAAACTCACCCACCCATGAGAGAAACTGGGCGTGGGGGACAGAAGAGGAGAACCTGAGAGAGAACTCGAAGAGGCAGAGAACCCAATGTCTAGGAGATGAAGCTGTAGAACCCAGGACTCCTAGTCACCTGAGGCCTGCCACACCGGGGACATCAGCCATCAACACAGAATTCGCAGGGTGAGGTGAGACCCTTAACCTCCTCACACACTGAGCCCTAGTCGTAGCCCTAACGATACACAGCTTCAAGCCATGTGCTTCATGTGCTGAAATCCGGGAGAAGCAGTGACTGATTCGCAAAGGTGCTGTGAAGGGTACGACACCAGTACAGGCTTGTTTAGGAGGAACAGAGGCAACACAGCACTGATGAATAGACATCACAAAACTTAACAATGCAGATTTGTTCTACTTACCATCGAAAAGCGTATCCCAAGGGATCAAGGGGCGGAGAGATGTTTGGAGGTTAAGAGCATTGGCTATTCTCTCCAGAGACGCAGGTTCAAACCCTAGCTTCTACATGGCAGCTCATAACCACATGTAACTCCAGCTCCAGGGATCAGATGCTTTCTGATGGCCTCCTTGGGCATCAGGCATGTGCGTGGTGTACAGCATGCAGGCAAACACACACACACTCATAAAAATATTGGGCCAACGGTGGCAGCGCACGCCTTTAATCCCAGCGCTCAGGAGTCAGAGACAGGCGGATCTCTGTGAATTTGAGGCTAGTGTGTCTGGATAGCAAGTTCTAGGTCAGCTAGGGCTGAGTAGTAAGACCTTGTCTCAAAAGGGCAGTGGGGGAGGGCAAGGGCAATATTTCTCCAGCAGTATTTCATGATTAATATTCTTCAAAGCCGAGTTGGTGAGCGGTTTTGGAGGTTGAGTCAGAACAGTAATAGAAACCGAGCTATTTGGGTCGGTCCTCAACACGGAGGAAGTTGCATCTATCTTTTTCGAGCTGTAAATCACACACGGCACCAGAGAGTGGATTTACTCACCTACCCTCGGCATGATTGAAATATTGATTCTGCCTGCGTGGATACCGACACGTTGAACCCACAGATATATCAAGCATGAGCATTCAAATAAGTCAGAATCACGGGTGAAGCCATCCTCTTTGGGAAGCTATTTTGACACATAAACAAGTGAGTAATGGGAACAGATTGATACCGAAATATAATTTACATCCCGAGGCATTTTGCTTCCGTGCATATTTCATTTGATTCTCTCGCTCCTGGATAATATGGTTCCCCAGCTTGCATCTCAGCATCTAAGACACTATCCTTCTGTACCCTAAGGAAACTGTTGGCTATTGCTCTCAGACTTTAGATTTTGCTTTTAAAATAAAATACCTGTTTGACATCCTCACCGAGTTCCGGCAGATTTTAATACATGTGAGTAGACATGTCAGGACTTTGAAGGGCGTTCTGAGGCCTTGGTTCCAACTGTCAGCGCGGTGGACATGTTTATAGTTCACCTCTGACGCCCTTGGCTGTCCGGTTGGTAGCTTCCATCTTCATCTTCATTGGCTTTATGCTGTGGGATTTCATATTCGCCTCGGGTGACAATGCTGGTGAGTTGTATTTCTGGAACTATTTGGTTCAATCTGTTAAAGTTCTTTTTCCAAAGCAAATCAGAGTTTTCTTACACATGGATCCGAGAATGACAAACCCTTGAGGAAATGCCCAGGGTGATGCTTTGTGAGTTTAAAGCGTATGCATTTGCCTTTTGCACCCTCCTGAGTGTGCGTATGCACACACACACACACACACACACACACACAAAGACTGGAAACAATGTTGGTCCCTGGCGTGTCTGCTGGAGTCTTTGTGATGTCTTCTTTCATTGTTCTTCTTTTTAAATTCCTATATTGCCAAACATTTGTAAAATGTACAACTGTCTCTTTAAACACAAAGAATAAATATCCAGAATATTAGCTGCCCCTATTATGGATTTGGTCTCCTTTGCCCTAGCATAGGCTCCGGGGAGAACCTCAGCTTGGGTTCACCCACCATTATTATTGTCCCTCAGAGGCTCACTCACTGTGGCTGGCTGCTGCAGCTTGTCATGTGTTTTGAGCCTTGTCTGCTCTCTTTCCAGCTGCCTGCTCTGGCCACCTGGTCCTTGACCCGGACCACCTCTGCCAGGGATGGTGTTCTCTCAGAACAGTGAGACCCTTGGAGCTCTGACCACAGCCTTCCTGCTTCATTATTTTTCAGGCCTTTGCCCTAGTGAGTACAGCCTGAGACACCAGCTTAGACTTCTTGGGCAAAGTCAGACAGCTCCCGGAGGGGTTGGCCTGGCAGCCCTGGCTCCACTCTTAAATTTTAATTGGTTAAAAGCAAACAAATAAACAAACGAAAACTTGCCCCAGGCATTTTCTGTTTTTGTTTTTAAATAACACTTTTCATTTAATCTTTCCAAGTTCCATACACTTACATAATTAATTTTGGTCATATCCATCTGCTAATGTCTCATTTCAACTTGGGTCTCCTCACAAATGTGCAAATACGGACAAGAACGTAACACCACCAGCCAGACTCGTTCCGTGTTTGTGCTATTTTGCTGGTGGCAGCGTCATGTCGGTTCCCTAACTTCTCTACTGTACGCCCCACTCTCCGAGGGAGGACCTCTGGCTGTCTCCCTGACCCCCGCGTTCCCTCGGAGGCAAGTCCAGTGCGCACCGCCTGGTCAGCGGAAGGCTTTGAAGCTCCGTTCCTGGATCTGCTCAGGGTGCCCACAGACCTATCTGGCTGAGAGCCAGCATCTTATAACGTGTCTCGGCATTTGTCACCGACTTCCTTCGACCCCAAAGCTTCCTCCTTTCAGTTTGCTGAATTTTGAGTTAGATACCTTGAGTCCAAGCTGGGCGGAGTATTCAAATCTGAAAACAGCGCCTCTCCGGCCGACTGAGCTGTCCTCCTTCTGAGAGAGCCCACAATTAACAATTTCCTGTTTTATCAATTATTTCACTTAATTAGAGCAGAAGGCCCAGCCTGCTTTGGGTTGATGTTCCCAGGCTTTTCTCATCAATCTCTCTGTATTTTGTATGAAATCTGTCTCTCGTGTGGAACACATAGTTGTGATTTGCTACTGTATCCAGCTGACAGCTTTATCATTAAGAAAAATTAATGGACTTCTTTCTTTGGGGAAGTTTCAGGTTTATGAAAAATGGAAATTGCATAGAATTCCTAGATACTGCTCCCTCTCTCCCACCGTTACTAATGTCTCGCATTAGTGTGAAATAAATCTTAGAACAAATGAGCCTTTGATTCTACATTATCATAAAATAAAACCCGTAGACTACAACTAGGGATCCTTGTAGTGGTGTAGAGTCTGGGTTTTGACCAATGTATGGTACCTCCTCCTCATTTCTGTTGCTCCGAAATTTCTAGATGTCTCACTTGTTTCTCCGGCCCTCCTTCCCTTCTACACACCACTACCTTCTAATTGTCGTATTCACTCTAATTTCATGTATTTAGCTTACTAATGCATTTAATTCTACCTCTCGCTGTTGGGTTTCCAGTTGGTTCTCCCTCTTGCATTATTATCTTTTTCTAGCATTTTCTTTCTTTTTCTAAAAATAAAAAACAAACAAACAAAAAAACTTAGCCAATCACGCCTTCTCTTTATTTTTTATTTTTATCACATTTATGTATAGACATGTGCATGCATTCACATGCCATGGCTTACATGCAAAGGTCAGAGGGCAACTTGTGGGATTTGGTTCTCTCCTTCTGGCATATAGGTTCCAGGAATCGAATTCAGGTTTGATCAAGCTTCACAGGAATCACCTTTTCCCACTAAGCCATCTTTCCAGCCATTTTCTTCTCTTATTTAAATATTTGTCTACTTCTTCATGTTTCCAGCGTCCAAACTCTTTTGAAACAATAGGGCGGGATCCAGGTTAGTTTTTGCAGTTGCTCTAGCTTGTCAGTCTCTGGGTGGAATTTCTAGCCCCTGAAGTGGGTATAAGTGTGGATTTGTGGGACTCTTAGAGACTTACTTAAATGTCAGTACACCTCTTGGCTCTTAAGAGACCCATAGATACTCAGAGAGCACCATGCTGTTACAGTCCTCAGGGGAGGCTAAGAGCATCTGCTCTAAGACTAAGGCATGGCCACGAGGGGTCTATGGGCAGGCTGCTCGTATGCAGCACAGTGCACACACCATTGGCTTGGGTACCTCCCCATCTCTCACATCTTCTCCTGTGGTTCCTACAGCGACAACTGTTCAGTTTTCCAGGCCTCCAACACATCTGGAAAAGAGATAGAGTGGGGCTAGTTGGGACAGCTTTGGTGAAGGTGGAGTCGGTTCATCCAAGCAGAAGCTATAGCTCCAGCAGCATCCCTGGGGAGAGGGCCTGTCTCTGGGGACCCTTGGGTCTCACCTCCCTGTCATTCTGTCACTGGGTGCTGGCTCCCATGAATCTGCACTCTCTGGGTGGCCTTTCTACTAATTAGTCTGAATTTCCTTCCTTCTCTTCTCCATGAGTTTGTTATTTATATACTCTTGTACTGCAAAGTGAAAGACCCGGTCTACATTCTTGACTTCTTAGTGTTTGATATAAATTCATACTTTCAATCCAGGACCATGGAACACTTCACATTTTTGTCCCATTCACTCCACTGTGTGGTACCTGTGCCTTGTATTTTATTCTGTATCTATTTTTAAATTGGTAAGAAATTGTTTTTCTTAAGCAGTTGATATTCCTTCATATTTTCCTACCTATCTACATGGCCCATTGTTCTACATTGGCCTCTTCTATTTCAATGTTTCCTATTGTGGTGATTTGAATGACAGTGGCCTCCATCGCCATATATTTGAATGCTTGGTTCTTTGCCGGTGAAACTGGTTGGGAAGAATTAAGAAGCGTGATCTTGTTGAAGGAGGTGCGTCACTGGGAATGGGCTTTGAGCTTTCAAAAGCCAATACCATTCTCAGTTCTCTCTTTGAACATCTCTCTCTCCTCCCTCCCTCCCCTCCCCCTCTGCTTCCTTCTCACCCGCCTCTGTCCCTCTCCTTCTTCCTCTCTCTTTCTCTGGCTCAAGATGTGAGTTCTCAGCCACTGCTCCAGAATCATGCCTGCTTTCCTGCCACCCTGCCCCCTGCCATGATTGTCAGTGGACTCCCTCTCTGAAACTGTAAGCAGCCAATACTTTCTTCTATAACTTGCCTTGGTCAAGGCGTTTTATTATAGCAATGGAAAAGTAACTAAGATCCCCATGAATCATTCACTTTTTACCTTTGGAACACAGGGCAGCCAGAGAGGGGGAAATACCAAGAAAATCTTCTAAGTTATATCAATAACTGCCAGCCTGGAATTTTACACACATGGTTGAAAAACAAATTAAATGCTGTAAGTCGAGAATCAGCACTCTGGAAGATCCAGGAGAAGAAACTATTAAGAATAAGATGCAGACAAGACAGGCTCAGACATGACCCACACCAGTGTCACACACAGAGGGAGTGGCTTAAGGGTCATGTGAGCTATCTCTTCATATAAAATGAATATTCCCCAGCAGTCAAGACAAAGGAAAGTATTTTCAGCCTAGCAGAGTCCAAAAGAAAAGGCAGCAGGCAGGCCTACATGGAGAGAAAGGAAAAATGGAAGTTTTGACTTCTTTACTGTAATACATCTTGATAGAGAAGTTGATTTCCAATTGTTTGCTTCTGGAAGGTGGCACATGAGCCCAGCTCTTCACCTCCAGAATCCCTGCCTTCTTTACAGGGTGCTGTGCTCTAATTTGATGGACAGCGCTAGGTCATCCGATGGAACTGTTTGTTCCCCTCCACATTCTCTCTAGGGTCCCCACATTCTCAGGTATTAGTTTGCCCTTCCCCATAGCTTCAGTACGGTTTTCTTAGAGTTGTTTGAATTTGTATTTTTCTGATTCAAACTAATGATCTTGTGCAGCACCTCCTCTCTTTGAAGCTCGGGGCTTTGTTTTCTTCTCTGTAATTTTCTCATGCATATCTCCTTGCTACTTGGCTCTTCACCAAAGCACTTCCCTAACAGATTTGAAGGTTCCCAGCTTGCCATGGATGTGCGTATCTGTCCGTGTTATCTGTTGAGACTGTCCTCCAACAACCTGGTCTACTATGGCCTTTCCTGATAACAGTTCTTGATTTCGATGTCCTTGATCAGTTATCGGTTTTGCCATGGTAATTTGTGCTCTTCGAGTTTTACTTCAGAAGGATTTTCCCAACCCAATTCACCATACTCTGCTGCCTTCTTTTCTTTTTTTTCTATTGACTTCATAGTTGTCCTGTCTAGTTCAATCTTTAATATAAATAGCTGCCCCTCTCCCTGGTGCTGGGCACAGGCATCTCATTTTTTCCCATGTAGACAATTTTCCCAAGATCGCTGGCTAAAGGTGTCCTTCCACCGGCATGTGTGGCGGTGTCAGTAACGTGTTGGATTCCCATAGTGCCCTCTTCAGGAACTCCCTGTTCTGCCTGACTCATCTATTTGTCTTTTCCAGACTCAATGCCACATTCCCATGACCTCGGAGACTGACTTAAGAGCTGTTAAGTCAAACCATCTGTTTCTTGTTTGTAAGATCAACTCAAGTGTTAGTGGGCTTCCATTCACCGTGGAGTTTTCAAACAAGTTACTCAACTTCTAAAACCAAAAGTCAGACTGAAGTTGATTGAGCTCTCTTTGAATTTATTGATTGGTTTGGTCAGAACTGACATCTTCACAGCAGGAAACCAGAGTCCAGGTCACCTCTCCATTTATTTGGGCACAGTTTCTAGTCTGCAGAAACCTTGCAGCGTACTGGTTCATCTGACTTGTAAACACCCAAGAATGGGCTAGCCTTGGGAATGGGCTTGTTTCAGTCATGCTTCTTATGGTTACAGGACATGACACTGGTGGGCGGAGCATGGCAGTGGTGTGTGATTGCCATCCCAGCACTTTGGAAGCTGAGGCAGGAGGATAGAGAACTCCGGGCCAGCCTGGGCTACATAGCAAGACCCTGTTGCTGTTTTAAGTTATTCATTTTGAAAACTGGTCACATAATAAAACTTTAATGTCCAGCACTTTTTGCTGCAATGCACTATGAAACCCATCGTGTGCCCCAGGTTAGACCATCTCATAGTCTCCCCTCAAATTCCTAAGTTGTTTTCTTTGTGCTGTTGACCAGGAACTCCACTAATGCCCAGGGCCAGTGAAATGGCATTCTCTTTTGTGGTGTCTACTTGGAAGAGGTTATAGGTCTTCTGTCCGTGGTGTAAGACTGGCTACAGATGTTTGTTATGCAACATCCTAAAATAAGGGGATTTCCCCTTTCTTGCTTTGCTAAGTAATTTTTCAAGCATGCTAAGTGATACTAAGTACTTTTCCGCTATCTGTCGAGACATGTATTTTCTTTTCTTCCTTCATCTGTTATTGTTCTCTGTCACTGTCTGAAGCGAATTCCGTGGCTATAACCGCGTGCCTGAGTGTGGTGGAATTCTTTCTTTCATAAGGTTTCGGTCATACTTGGCTGTGGAACCACACTCTTAGAATGCCAGCATTCAGGAGGTGGAAGGATTTTAAGTGCAGGGATAGCTCTGTCTGCATAATGAGATCCTACCTTTAAAAAGGCGTCTTGTCTTGTTTTGTTTTGTTTTAGTGGGGTTAAGAGTGCTTGCTACTCTTGCAGAGGACCCGTTTGGTTCCTAGCGCACACGTTGAGTGATTCACAGTTGTCAGGCAATCTGTACACAAGTGGCATATGTACAGAGAGACATAGAGATATGCACATAAATAAAATAAATCTTTAAAATTAGGGGGACATTCACACGGTGCACAGAAACGCATGCAGGAAAAATAGTAGCACACATAAAATAAAAATTAAAACGGGACACATCCAATTTGCTCACGTGTCCCGAATCTCTTAGCTTCCTTCCCAGGGTTGGCAGCATTGGTCTTAGACTCAGAAGTGTGCTCTGCAACCTTGATAATGTTATGCATAAATTCTGGCAAAAGCCAGGGCTACTTACCAAACGCTGTGCCATTATCTCTCTGAGAACACCCAGCAATTGGATTTGCAGTTGGCGTGACTTAAGAAAGTGAAGAAGAGAAACGATGTGTAATGAGATCAGGAGAGTCTGTGCAAAATGTCAGCACACTCGCCCTCTGTCAGTGTGTCCCCAGAACACGGCCTCCAGAATCATCTGAATGAACTAGATGAGCCATTTCTCAACGTGTCCTCGGGGTTTCCTTCGGCTACCATCACCAGCTCATAAATTGGGCTCACCAGCTTTAGGGATGGGAGACGTTTGCTGCTACTTCGCCCTAAACCCTGAAACATGATATTTGTCTCTGAGAAGCTTAAGACCCATCATGATGGAGATTCTGAGGATGACTCCATCGGAGCTAGGAGTCAGGCTATAAATCCGGAGACAGTTTAACTGTCCTGCAAGAGTAAATTTAATCAAAAGCATAATGCTATTTCTTCTTGTTATTGGACTCTTGTCAAGGCCCCCATTTCTCACTTAGCTTTGCTGAGGAGTCTCCTGGGCACTGGGCTGCACGGCCACCCGAGTCAGCTGAACGCTGAAGTGTCACCCTGTGTTTCTCATGGAAGATGCATGCCTCTGAGGACCGTGGGAACAGCCTGTGCTTGGAGAGGCACTTCCTTTTCCGCTATCTGTCTCAGTGGCTTCAGGAGTCTCATCCCCCTTCCTTTCCTGGCAGGAAGCCGTCCTCAGCCTCATTTGTTCCTGACGTGGTTTCTGCGGTTTTCAGAGAGAGCAGAAATGTTCAGCCACGCCGGTTTCCTCTTTCTCTCCAAACCCACTATTATTTCCCTGGCATTTTCCTTTGAAAATTGTTTCTGGGTTGAGAAACGCTTGAGCGTATGTCTGGAAGCACTCCTCTGCGTCTTACACTGTCAGGCACCCCGAAATGTTGCTGTTTGCTCTGTGGGCATCGTTTCGGCTGCCAGCCTCTCACTGGTGGGTGTAGACAACGTGTCTGCTCTGAGGAAGCTTCTCCCTGAGGCTGAGGGTGTGGGGGATGTGGACCAGGCCCACAGCTAGGCAGGCATAAGGACAGTGACCAGCTGTGACTGCGGACAGTATGGGATCATGGGTCTCATTACCATCCCTCGACGTCTTTCTTAGCAGGATCACCTCTGAGGACTCCTTTGACCCCCAGTGATTTCATTTCCTTCATTCACCCATTGGCTTTATATGTGGTAGGATGTGCAACCCTAGAGGAAGTGAATTCCCTTTACAGAGTCTGTGGGGTAGGTCATCATCTCGTGTGCTTAAGTGACACCCAGTCTTTGTCTCCAGGAAGCGGAGCGTGAGTCAGAGCCTTCGCTCAGCCATATTATGATAAGACCCAGAAAAGGCCCCTGAGACTGCTCTCCAGGGTCATAGGAACCTTTTGTGGTAGAGTCTGTGATTTTCCTCTCCAGGGGACTCTTTAGTTCTTCTGTCTACTCAAGCCATGGGGCAGGCAAATTCTCTGAGCAGGCCAGGTCCAAGAACACATTTCTTGATACCTTTTTCCCAGGTCATTGTTGGCCGGGGAAATGGAGGCCAGGTGGGAGAAGCATGGCGGAGACTCTGGAGGAAAGTAGGGAGAAGGTTAAATAGATAAACACAGCTGCCAAACAGCGGAGGAAGAGGCGAGCTCTGTCAGTGGCGGCCCGGGATGGACCCCTGAAGGTCACATATGTGCTGTTCCGAGTCAACGGACCTGGGACAGTGTGGCGGATACAGCGGAGGAATTGATGGCTTTGAGGATCTCACCCAGGTCATGGTGCTACATGCTCCCTTTGCATGACCTCAGTACCGTGGCCTTTAGGAAATAAAAGTGTTCTTTGTTTTTCTTTCCTACCTGAAAATGTGACCTGCCCAGTGATTGCTCGAAAGGCTTTCCAGCCCAGAACGTTAGTACCCGTCTGCTTCAGCAAGAGCAATGAAGGGGTCTGTATAAGGGAAGATGTGGGGCTGCTGCTGTGCAGGAGGAGCATGTGCATGGGCAATAAAGTGGGGGGAAGATGCCCACAGTGGCAGCAACTGAGGGGACACACAGGACCCTGCAGAAGGCACTGCCGGGATGGGCAGAACCCCGACCCAACCCTGGCAGGAGACACTGTGGGATTTACTGAATCCAGCCACCTGCAGCCTGGAAGGACCACTGGACAACAGACCAGGAAGAAGAGGGGGGGTTGAAAGGTGTACAGAGATGGTAGGAGTAGGAGACGAAAGAATTGGAGGGTCGCTGGGTGATCTGTGACCATACTTTGTTAGGGTAGCCCCCAGGAAACAAATCCATCACCCATGCATGATCTCTTCCTAAAGGGGTCACCACTAAGATCTACTATCTACCAACATGTCTCCACCCATAACAGGATAGAGAGACACCTTTCTCCCTGACTCCCCATGACCATGGCCCGGACCTAGCCATTTACCTGGACAGTAAGAGGTAGCAAAGATGAAGGGGTGCATTGCCTAATGCCGTGGCATCCATGGTGAGTCATCTGTTGTGCGGCCAGCCCTCCTGCACACTCTGATGAAGCATACTGCTGGGCTGGAATGGCTCAACAGAAGACTGCGGATAGCTGCCACTGGCAAGAACCACACAAACTCTGATATCACAACTGCAGAGTCAGATGCTTATGTGTATGGAGGACAAGAAGGAGGAGAGGAGGAGGTGGGGCTCACAGATGTCCCGCTACCAATCACAGGATCTTCCCTTCCTAGCTAAGTACCGCACTGACACCTTGTCTGAGCCCTTGAACTAGAGCAGAGTTTCTTAAACAGTGGGTCCCAACTCTCGTATGGGGGATAATTGGGAGAAAGTGTGGCAACAGTAAAGGGGTTCTGCGCATTCAATGACCAAAAGGCAATCCAAAGCCTACCGGGGACCATGAGTCTGGCCTGTCTCTGGCAGTGCTCACTCGTGTTGCAGCGTGTGAATCTGCTACAGTCTTGGTTCTGAGCGTGCAGGGTGCTCATTCTGCATGGCATGGGCCACCATAGCATGTGGTGCCAGTGACCTCTGGGGCCACCACGGCGTGCGGTGCCAGTGAACTCTGTCTGAAACACTTCAGCTCAGATGCAAGACCATCATAAATTATGAACTGTGGAGTTTTTATTGTTCATACGAAGAAGCAATTTAAGGGGAAGGGCTTACTTTGGCTCACAGTTTGAGGGAATACAGACGATTGTGGCAGCGAAAGCATGGTGCCAGTGGGATGAATGAGTCACATTGCACCCAGAGTTAGGGACACATGGAAAGGAAGTGGAGCCAAGGTAAAAGTCTCAAGTCCTGGCTCCAAGGACCCACTTCCTCTAGTGATAGTCTACCTCCTAAAGGTTCCACATCCTTCCAAAACAGCGCTACTCTCAGGGGACCAAGAATTCAAACATGTGAGCCTGTGGGGGAACAGTTCATATTAAAACCATGGCAGCTTTCGTATTGCTGGAAGAGTTTGGGTGTGGGCAAGCAGCACAGCCTGTGAAGTCAATTCATAGTAAGCTCATGCCCTCCCCAAGGCAGAGCCTGGCACCACCCAAGCTTCTGGCCTAACTGGCCTGGGTAGAGTCTGGACAATGTGGTTCTTTGTTAATTTTGTTTTGTTTTATTTTGTTTTGTAGTTAGTGAATTGTATTTAAGTTCTCCGAGTGATCAGTGTTGAAGCAGAGCTGAGAACAGCTGACATGGTTGGTTGAAAGTGTGTTGGGTTAGGATGCACACCTTGGCTAAGATCCTGTCCCGTCAGACATTGGTCAGTGTCAGAGACATAGATGATATTGAGACACAGCTGCACAGACACAGGCAGTGGCAGAGGAGAGACACAATCTCTACAGAGACTGACGCAGGTACAGATACATGGGGCGGGGGGGAACATCAATATCCGCCAGGGCTTGCACAAGCAAGTCTCATCTTCAGGAATATGAATGCAGCGATCTAAGGTGAGCTGAGCATCCTGTGAGATCCCAGCTGATGCCGAAATACTGGCTGCCCATTCATTGTCTGGGAAAGTACAGCAACATTACTTCAGTCTATAAAACTGGTACCTAAAGCATCCTCCTCAAAGAATTATTGTGGCCGAGGGATGAAGACACAGAGAACTGAGACTTAGTTGTCTCAAAACTTTGGTTTAATTGGAGCCAACTTAGCGCAGGGTCAGCCCTGGAGACTCCAGAGGGTGTGTGGAGAAAGTGACAGGGTACCAGGCACGTGTGAGCTAATGTGTTACTGTCACACACAGAAAGCTGGGACAAAATACTCTGTCCCCCCCGCTTGTATGACATTCCTAGAAGTCACTCAGTATATTAAGAGGAGTTTTGTTTTAAATCACACACCTTCAATAGCTCCCGGAGCCTCAGTGCAGTTAAAATAAAGTAAACAGAAAACGCCCTGCCAGGGCCATTGTCCATAGCAGACACAGCCTCATTAGAAGGTTCCAGATTGAGATGCATACGAAAACGTGAAGGATCTGAAAGCACTGGTTACCAAGGAACCGCTGCAGTCAGAACTGAGTGAGGCAGTGTCTGGGTTTCGGCAGCCCCGGTGCTATATTCTCCTTCTGTCGGAATACGAGATTGCCCAGTAAACAGCCTGTTCATGCTGCTTTCTCTGCACTACTCAGTTTACAATATGAAATTCTGGACTCAAGTTTAGACCAGGAGGGGAATTGTGTATTTTGAATAAATGTGATGACTCCTTCCAACTTTACTGATGGGTTTTCTCCCACAGTATACCCTAGGCTGAGTCTTTGGCAGGAACCAAGGATTCACAGTGAAGGGGACAAGGCCTCATACCCATGGGGCTTGGCTCCCACGTGGGCGGCAAACTAGGGAAGAGGCCCAAAGAAGGTGCAATAGAAGCAAACAGCCTCTAGGGATGCAGACGAGGGTCTCCGAGCCCCAGAGCTTCTGCAGTGAGCACACGTGTGCTGTGTGCCAGGAAAAGTCCTATACTGCTTAACCTTTCCCCTTTATTTGACACCTGATCACCATGACAACCACCATCGCTTTTCACAGATTTAAAATGCCCCACAGACTCCTGTGTTTGAACACTTGTCCCCAGCTGGGGATGCTGTGTAGGGAACGCAGCCTTGGGAGTCCAGGACTAAACTGGAAGAAGGGAGTTGGGAGGGACAGATCTTGGAGGTTTATTTGCCTCTGGTTTTGATCTGTGTTCTCTGCTTCCTGGCTGGCTACAGTGTGAGGTCTGCCACACACTCTAGCTGGCATGCTTCCCCTGCCACGATGAGCCAAAACTCCCTCTGGGAACCACGAGCACGAAGAAATCTCTCCTCCCTCCAGTGGCTCCTGCTTGACACGTACTCAGAAAGGAGAGGAGCACAAAGAGACCCAGCATCCTTCTGTCTTAGCTGTCTGCGTCCATGAACATGTCACTGTAAACACAGCACGTGGGCCCTCTGCATGTGTAGGCTCTGAAGTTGGAACTACAAATCCATTCCAGCATCCTATAGCCTCACTTGCTCCTGCTGCTTTGACTGCTGCCAAGCTTGCCCATCCTCACTGTCATGGATGCATCTTCTCTTTTCCTTGATGTCCATCAAGGAACATAATGAGCAA